AAAAGAAAACAGGCAGAGGTTTAAAATTAAGCAGGGTGGATGTTAAGAAGAAAGTAAATTAAGGTTGAAGTGATAAATATAGAAAATGGGATGAGAAATGTTGGAAAGTAGTGGCATTTGTAGTTAATAGTGTGATGACTTAAGTTGTTAGTAGATTGGATGTGTGGTTTATTAAACACCTATAAAAATAATATACGTAATTATATAATATGATATATACAAATATAAAATGATCTCTCTTCTTGAAAAATATATTTCTCTTGTGAATATTATTAACAAGATACTAAAAGAGTCTTTAATAAGGAAACCTAATAGACATACTTTCTATGTTCTCATACCCCATAAAGAGTGTTTCATAAGCTTTCATGACTGAGCCCAGTTTTACTCAAAGTAATGCTACTTTCCTTATTCAGTCATACAAAACACATCCTCTGGCTTGATATCACCCTTTAAAACGTTAATTATTCTAGAGAAGTTTCCCCACGTAGTCTCTTTAGTAAAAGGGTCTGCTATATTATTTTCCCTTTTTATTTTAAATGTATCAATAGACCTATCTTGTGTTTCTTCTTTTGATTTTTCCAGTCTGAGTCCTATGAATTTTGTTCGTGTTTTAAAGTAGTCCTGTTTGAGTCAATCAATGGCTGGCGTAGAATCTGTTATTATATTAATGTTTGTATTTATATTTTAAAGATTCCCTTCGTTTTACATTTTAATAAAACAGCTTGATCTTCCCCTATGGTTGGAGCATCCACTTCAGCTTCTGCTGATGACCCACAAACTATAGTGGATTTTTTGGAAAAACCCTCATAAAAATTTTTACCAATCCATACGATAACACCACGTCAAACTCAGATCCCAATGATACATCTGCAACCACTGTGATGTCCAATTTATTCTCCTCGTCGCTTCTTATATATCTGGTATCATTAACATACTTCAACAATGTTTTGACTGCTTTAATTACTTTAGGATGAGGGAACAATACTAGACGTAACAGCTTGCCTAAAGCAAATTCTATATCTAATCTTCCTCTTGTTCTAATATAATTGACTTTTCCAATCAATACTTGAAGCCATTTTATTTTTTCTTTTAATGTAGATTTCTCCATGACCAATTTATGTGTTTTGGGATATATAGCATACTTATGAAGGTTAGGTACGCTATTAGTTTTTTTCTATTTAGATACAATCTCTTTATATTCTTCAAACATTTTTCAATATATCTTGTAATATGCAACTGTATGGTTCCGTTTTCTCTGTTATAATTTAAATCTAAACCTGAGAGACCCGTTTCTAGTATATCGTGTTTCATAAAACCCAATTCTTTTAAAGCAAACTTGTTTTTTAGAATAGTCTATGTTGATCTAAAATATCAGCAACATACACAGCTCTCATAATTGATTTGTCTTCGAACACAAATAAACCAGGAGAATAAATAAAGTCATGCAGACCAATAGAATTTGTAAATTGTTCCAATGAATTATTCCAGTTCTATGGACTTTTTAAGGCCATACTTCTAACTTTCAAATGTATTTTGTCTTGCCTCTTCAAAATTCGTGACACCTTCTATTGGTCTGGTGTTCACACAAAAATTCCATATCTGAGGTAAATCTTCTAATAACTCATCGATCACAGTAAGACCACTCTTAAACGTATTCTTCAAATTACTTCTCAATTTACTGCCTCTAAAGATTCCACATGATCCAAGTGACCTTTAATGTATATATATCTGAAATGCACCAGGAGAGTCTTAAAAATATTGATCATCTGTTGTCAATTGTTACACATATTTTACCCTTCTCTTTCTTCTAGTGTCATGTTACACCCTTGTGAAATATAATGATTTATTTTGGTTCTAATTTTCTTAAAACATTACTGGAACATTGGACAGTTGATGTTTCAGGCGTTTTCAATTTTATTTTATTTCTGGTGAGCTCAGTTACAGCATGCAATAAGGCAAGATATAAAAACTATTTGAAGAAATGGATAGATTATTCATATCGGTGGTGGGTTAGACATTGTGATAGAGTGGGTCTGTTAAATCAATAATAATAGTATACTAATACTTCTTCTGTGTATGATAATTATACATACTATAAGTCCAGATATGAATAATCTAATCCTAAATTATTTTTTACAAGACAAAAAATATTTGTTGTTGGGGAACAATTCCAGCATAATTAATATTTTACCAGCACATGATTTCCAAATTGGAAAAAGCCAGCAAGAATAGGTGTGCATGGATAATAATATACATGGGGATAGTAGTTAGGATATCTGGGAGGTGTAGCTATATATTCAGATGGGTGAGTGAATGGTGTGTTGGGGTGATCTCTGTGTAGGGACAGTAGTAGTATTAGGATATGTAATGTTAGAGGGAATAATATAGTGGTAATGAAACATAAGCTAATTGTAGGTGGTGCGTGAATGGTATAGTAATATGAGGGTATATCGATGGGGAATAAGGGAGTGTACGGTATAGTAATATTAGCTGAGTGTCTCTGATGTGAAATGGAACAAACGGATAGTGGGGGAAGAAAGGTGTGTAGGGGCCAAAATGTAGTGATACAGTATATACTCTTAGAAAGTATTAAAGATATGTATTTATCAGTTATACCCCTTAAAAGCATATTATCAGCTTACTTCTCTATATAAAAGAACGTAATAAAAGATATGGTAAAACCCAAAGAGCCACAAGAAAAGAATAGCTTCCTCTTAAATGAGATGCAGGGCTACGACGATATTGAACATTGATGCTGTTGTATGAGATTATCTCCCAAATATATTTTCTAGGGTTTCTGTATAAATCTTCCTAACAAGTAAATTTATAATTTTCTTGAAAACAGTGAAGATTAAGAAAAGTGACAAGAACGTTAGAATGAAATGTGTGAGATTACAAGAGTGGGAAACAAACATAAAAAAGGCAGAGAAAGGCAAATACTACAATATATTGAAAGAGAAGAAGATGTGTGAGAGTAGAAGAGTAGGGGTGAGTATAGGTATTGTAAGAGGAGGTAAATGAGGGCAGAGAAGTAGTAGAGGAGATGGGGGAATGTATGGAAATATAGGTAATATGGTGAGAGAGAAGGTAAATATTCATATTATAATGGGATATCTCTTAGGAAAAGGTAGAATGGTACACGGTGAATAAGTGGTGAGGTAAGGAGGGTGTATGGGTGTTAGAACATAGGGGAGTAAACAAGTGGAGTAGATTAGAGTGAAAATTGGTGTAGAGAGGGAGTGATGTATGGAAATATAGATAATGTGATGACAGAGAATGATAATATTGATATTATGATGGGTAGTTTGGACAAAAAGAGCAGAATGGTACACGGTGATAAGTGGTGAGGTAAGGAGGGTGTCTGGGTGTTAGAACAGAGAGTAGTAAACAAGTGGAGTAGATTAGAGTGAAGAGGTAGAGGAGATGGAAGGATAAATAGAAATATAGATAATGTGATGACAGAGAATGATAATATTTATATTATAATGGGATATCTCTTGGGAAAAGGTAGATTGGTACAGGGTGAAAAGTGGTGAGGTAAGGAGGGTGTCTGGGTGTTAAAATATAGGGAAGTAAACAAGTAGAGTAGATTAGAGTGAAAAGATAGAGGAGATGGAAGGATAAATAGAAATATAGATAATGTGATGACAGAGAATGTGAATATTTATATTATGATGGATATCTCTTGGGAAAAGGTAGATTGGTACAGGGTGAAAAGTGGTGAGGTTAGGAGGGTGTATGGGTGTTAGAACAGAGAGTAGTAAACAAGTGGAGTAGATTAGAGTGAAAAGGTAGAGTAGATGGGGAGATGTATGGAAATATAGAAAATATGATGACAGAGAATGTGAATATTTATATTATGATGGATAGTTTGAAGAAAAATGGTAGAATGGTACACGGTAATAAGTGGTGAGGTAGGAGGGTGTCTGGGTGTTAAAATATAGGGAAGTAAACAAGTGGAGTAAATTAGGGTGAAAATTGGTGTAGAGAGGGAGTGATGTATGAAAATATAGAAAATGTGATGATAGAGAATGACAATATTTATATTATGATGGGTAGTTTGGAGAAAAAGGGTAGAATGGTACAGGGTAATAAGTGGTGAGGTAAGGAGGGTGTATGGGTGTTAGAGTATAAGGGAAGTAAACAAGTGGAGTAGATTAAGGTGAAAATAGGTGTAGAGAGGGAGTGATGTATGGATATATAGATAATGTGATGACAGAGAATGTTAATATTTATATTATGATGGGATATCTCTTAGGAAAAAGTAGAATGGTACACGGTAATAAGTGGTAAGGTAAGGAGGGTGTCTGGGTGTTAAAATATAGGGAAGTAAACAAGTAGAGTAGATTCGGGTGAAAATAGAGAGTAAATGGAAGGATAAATAGAAATATAGATAATGTGATGACAGAGAATGTTTATATTCATATTATGATGGGTAGTTTGAAGAAAAATGGTAGAATGGTACACGGTAATAAGTGGTGAGGTAAGGAGGGTGTCTGGGTGTTAAAATATAGATAAGTGATATAAGAGGGAAAGTAAGAAATAAACAGATGAAAGAGTAGTAAGGGGTATGGGGAGATGATGAGAAGATGGAGAGTAGTGGTGTTTGTGTTAAATAGAGAGATGTAAATTGGAGGTGTGGATTATTAGAAAGGTATAGAAATAATACAGATAAGTTAACATGTTTATACATGAACAGAATTTGAGTGTCTTGTTGAAAAATATAATTGTGTTTTGATTATTATTAACAAGATAATAAAAGAGTGTTTGATAAAGAAAGGTCATAGAGTGAGTGTGTATGTTGTAAGAATAAGGAGATTTTAGATATGGTAAGGGTTGGATAATTATAGTGTTGTGGGGAAAGGGAGAGATTAGTGGTGGTGAAAATGGGAATGTTGGTATAAAATGTATAAAAGGGGAGGGGAGAGTATGGATGAGAGAAGAAGTAGAGAGAGTAGGAGAGGGTGGTGGTGAGTAGTAGAAGATAAGTTAGTGATATTTTAGTTTTGGAGAGATAGAGAACAGAAGATATTAGGATAAAGAGAATAGAAAAGAGGAATAGAGGAGAGTAAGAGAAGGGAGTAATGAAAAGAAGTAGAAGAAGTTGATGAGTAGTGAGATAGTGGGAGAAATATAGTAATAGAAAAAAGACATGAGAGAGGGTTCGAACAGTGGAAGAGAAATAATACTAGAGAAAAGGCATGAGAGAGGCTTGGAAGAGGGGAAGGGAAGTAGAGGATAGATAGAAGAGACATAGTAATAGAGAAAAGGCATGAGAGAGGATTCGAACGGTGGAAGAGTAGAAGGTATTGATGAGTGGTAAAGAAATAAAAGAGAAAAGGCAGCTGAGAGGGTTCGAACAGGAGAAAAGAGAATAGTAATGAAAGTGAGGATGGGAGAAATATAGTAGTAGAAAAAGGCATCAGAAAGGATTCGAACGGTGGAAAAGAGTGGGAGATAGAAGTGATGATGGGAGAAATATAGTAGTAGAAAAAAGGCATCACAAAGGATTCGAACAGGGGAAGAGGAGAAGATAGAGATGGATAGTAAACAGATAAAAGAGAAAAGGCGGCTGAGAGGATTCGAACGGTGGAAAAGAGTGGGAGATAGAAGTGATGATGGGAGAAATATAGTAGTAGAAAAAAGGCATCAGAAAGGATTCGAACGGTGGAAGAGTAGAAGGTATTGATGAGTTGTAAAGAAATAAAAGAGAAAAAAAGCGGCGATGGGGATTCGAACAGTGGAAAAGTAAAAGATAGAGAAGGGAGAAATATAGTAGTAGAAAAAAGGCATGGGAGAAGATTCGAACAGGGGAAAAGAGTGGGAGATAGAAGTGATGATGGGAGAAATATAGTAGTAGAAAAAAAGCAGCAGAGAGGGTTCGAACAGGGGAAAAGAGTGAGAGATAGAGATGGGTAGTAAACAGATAAAAGAGAAAAAAACGGCGATGGGGATTCGAACAGGGAAAGAGTGTAAATTAGAAAAGGGAGAGATATAGTAGTAGAAAAAGGCATCGGAGAGGGTTCGAACAGGGGAAAAGAGTGGGAGATAGAAGTGATGATGGGAGAAATATAGTAGTAGAAAAAAGGCATCAGAAAGGATTCGAACGGTGGAAGAGTAGAAGGTATTGATGAGTGGTAAAGAAATAAAAGAGAAAAAAAGCGGCGATGAGGATTCGAACGGTGGAAGAGTAGAAGATAGAGAAGGGAGAAATATAGTAGTAGAAAAAAGGCATGGGAGAGGATTCGAACAGGGGAAAAGAGTGGGAGATAGAAGTGATGATGGGAGAAATATAGTAGTAGAAAAAAGGCATCAGAAAGGATTCGAACAGGGGAAAAGAGTGAGAGATAGAGATGGGTAGTAAACAGATAAAAGAGAAAAAAACGGCGATGGGGATTCGAACAGGGGAAGAGTGTAAATTAGAAAAGGGAGAGATATAGTAGTAGAAAAAAGGCATCGGAGAGGGTTCGAACAGGGGAAAAGAGTGGGAGATAGAGATGGGTAGTAAAGAAATAAAAGAGAAAAAAAGCGGCGATGAGGATTCGAACAGTGGAAGAGTAAAAGATAGAGATGGGAGAAATATAGTAGTAGAAAAAAGGCATGGGAGAAGATTCGAACAGGGGAAAAGAGTGGGAGATAGAAGTGATGATGGGAGAAATATAGTAGTAGAAAAAAGGCATCGGAGAGGATTCGAACGGTGGAAGAGGAGAAGATAGAGATGGGTAGTAAAGAAATAAAAGAGAAAAAGCAGCAGAGAGGGTTCGAACAGGGAAAGAGTGTAAATTAGAAAAGGGAGAGATATAGTAGTAGAAAAAAGGCATCAGAAAGGATTCGAACGGTGGAAGACGAGAAGATAGAGATGGGTAGTAAAGAAATAAAAGAGAAAAGGCATGGGAGAAGATTCGAACAGAGGAATAGAGAGTAAAAAAAGATGAGTAGTAAAAGAGTTAGATAATGAGAGTGTTGGATAGTAGTGGTATTTGTATTTAATAGAGTGATGAGTTGAGTTATTAGTAAATTGGAAGTGTGGATTATTAAAAAGGTATAGATATAATATAGATAAGTTGATAAGTTTATAGATGGATATAAAGTGATGGTTGATATTTTTATTTTTCAAAAAAGGTTTTTGTTTTGAATTAAGATTGTAGAGGATATAAATAGAGGAAAGTATAGTGAAGACAGATACTAAAAGTGGGAGTGTGGGAGTGTGGTGTCGATATAATATAGTGTATGG